GTGTGTGTGTGTGTGTGTGTGTGTGTGTGTGGTGTGTGTGTGTGTATGTGTGGTGCCTGGTTCCGACTACATGTAACGCACTCTGCTCATTACCTTCTCCGAGACCAGTCAATGCAAACCACAGACTATTTCAAATGAAGCAGGTTGGTTCGAGACACTGAATCCTCATAATGTTCATGTGCATTGTAGTTTCGAGTAGTGTTGTAGGGGCGTCGTATTGCAAAAAGAACAAAAAAAAAAGAAAAGGAAAAAGAATGGCACCTTATATGCATACACATAAACACACACACACACACACACACACACACACACACACACACACACACACACACACACACACACACACACACACACACACACACACACACACACACACACACACACACACACACACACACACACACACACACACACAGACACACACACACACAAACATATACATATATATATATATATATATATATATATATATATATATATAACTGAAACATATACATCATGCATTGAATGGTAGGACTTAGATCCTTCCCTCCGCACTTTAAAGGGGACGTGTTTTAAAATAACAAACAGGCTTACCTTCTGCAGGTACTTTAATTATCTCCGTTTGCTGCAGCAATACTGTAATCTCGTTGAGAGCCGAACACCAACTGGCTGGATGCCCTGGTCCCTGCGTCTGAAACTCATAAAAATGTCCCGCCTCCCCGTTGTAGAGGCGTCACCAGGCTGCGGGTGGGTGAGGCAGAGGTAAACTTTCTCAATATCGTTGAATACCAAGCACGTGAAGTGCTCATAAGTAATACACTATGAGAGCGAGAAGCTATCCGCAGTCACCACACCCGCGTTCCACTGGCCTGAGCCCGCCTCTGCCTGGCGGCGCCTCCCCGCGCCTCGGGGCCGACGGACCGCCCCTGCTCCGGCCGGGCCGCCGCTCGGCTGCCCGACGGCTCTAGATGCGTATCGTCTTATTTGTACAGCATTGTCTGCAAACAGGATTAACGTGACGACAGAAAGTCGACGGTCGGCGTCGTCGGCCAGACCCACCGGCTGTAATCAGCTGCTGCGTCGAGAGGTGAACAATGTCCCCGGCTAATACCTTAATGCGAAACGCGGATCAACGGGTTGAGATAGAATCTCGGTCCTGCTGCCGGTCGGCCCTTTACTGGAGCAGACGCCGCGGTCTCTCGCCCCGGTTGCGTCTGAATCGATTAGGCTCTTATCGCATGTTTTCATCGTCCCAACTCATGAGGTGTTAAAATATTAATGCCTTTCATGAAAGGCCTAATTCGTCCTGACGTGCGACGGGTTAATGAATGCAGTTTTTGTAGTTATGAACACAGCGGCGGGCACCATGCGGCGCTGCTCTCAGACCTCCACTCACGGCAATCTCGTGCTCTGCTCACCAAGACTCGACGTCGGCGTTGTATGTGTCGTGTCCACACCGCCACCTGGCCCCCTGGGCCGTTTGAGCACGCACTGAGGGGCGTTACACTTATCTACGAAATAACCTCCACAACAAGCACCTCCAAACATGGTATGACAATTTCAACAGCGCAGAGGCTGTATATCAGAATCAATCAAATGCTGTTTCAGTAAATAAAGCTGCACGCGTTCTGCTGGGCTGCATGCATCATCACTGCAAATCATTATGTTCCCGAAAAACTATCAATAAAAGGATTAGGTCAACCAAGACGCTGTTTCTTGTCTCAACAAACACTGCGTCGTGGTATCTTCTGCTTCGCCTGGTTCGCGCACCACCTGAGAACATACATCTGACACAGAGAACGGTCCTTCAGCTCATCAGTCATTCAATGCTTGCTTCTACAGATCTTTGGCCTTATCACGAGCCGTGCAGTCCCGTCTGACGCATCACGCGTCAGACGTCAGCCATACATTTAAACGATTCTAATCTAGCGCGCATCACGCATTAACACGCGTTCGGATGGGGAATCAAACTGACTTCACCTCCGAAGGATTTTCCGGAATGGTGTCCGAACGGTGCGGTGTAGCCGCGCCAAATTTCGCATAGCTGTAGACAATTAAATTAGCGGATCGTTTGAAATCGCAAATTTAGATGTTCCTTGCAAGGTTGCGCTGTCGAACGGCAGGTCAAAGTGGATTCAGCGAAGTCAATTTCTAGAGAATCGTTTATTCTGATGCAACAACTGAGTGTTACACGAAGCCATACATCTCTGAGATACTTTGTTAGGCAACACAACAATTGAATAAACAAATTCCATTGACCTAGGGTCAGGTTTGATGGTCAAACCAAGGTCAAAACCAACCTACTGTATTACTGTACGGCTTGCTGTATGGGGGGGGGGGGGGGGGGTTCTGGTGCTCATTTACAATTGATTGATAACAAGAATGACATCATGTTTTAGGAGCATACTGCCTAGCGTAACCTTGGTCGTTCATTCAAATGGAAGTCTCAAAACAGCCTTGTATGATTTTCGTCATTATGACCTTTAAAAGGTTAAATAAGGTCACTGGCCTTCAATGAGCATGTGACCTTTCCTTTAGCACAGATGTCTGGTTTCTGGGGGCACTTTGGAGACCAATCTGGAATTTGGCCTTGCTTGACCCTATTTAACCCGAAGGTCATACTCTAGGAACCTTAAACTATAGCCTAAGTGATTTTCCGTGCAGTACAATTTAGCGTCTCTAGCTCTCTTAGTTCCTGGAATCTCACGGTCAACTTGACCTTCCAACCGAATGATATCCAAGCTTATCCAACCGGCCACCCGAGCGCGTGTTAAGGCACTAAGTATATCCACATAGTTCACTATGGTGATCCCTGTACGTTGAGGTCTGGTCGCCGACTTCTTATAAGAATGGATTTACTTACTTTTCTGTCTGGATGGTCCTGCGCTTTGTAGATGACATTGAGCTCTAAAAGGGGTTTAGACACCGACTTCCCTAGATTTCAGCCTCAATGTGACTTATCAAGAAACTTTCGCCGAAAGGGTTATTATCTGTTATGTTCTTGGTGTCTTCCAGATGCTCACTGTATTTCGCTATTTCAAAACAACCCTGATATCGAATGGGATCCGCAGGAAATTTGAAATTTATTTCTAACATTCGTTTCGATGAAGGTATATAGCCGAGATATCAATGCATCTTTCCCTCCCTTCTCCTGGTAATTTTACGAGGAATAGGACTGGCAGTGCTGTCCTATCCCTAAGCATGATGATCCTTAGAAATGTATTCAAAAACACACGTATGCAGATTTTCCGGATGCTTCACCCTTTTGGACGGCATTTTGGAGCGGGTTCGGGTTTTCACACTCATGGCCGCACCTACCTTTGCCCTCCCCCACCCCGAAAAGGGCCAGTGTCGGATCCGGGATTTGTTCGAGGAGACCATACCGGCCAAGAGAGGAAGAGGCCCCTGAGATTTCGGTGTACCCTCCGGAACCCAGAATGGGTATTCTAGCATAATAATGTATAATTCATAGCACATAAGAAACTGAGCGCTACTGTTTTCGAGGCCCAGGGGGGGGGGGGGGCATAACCTCGTCACCCCTAATCTGGCTGCGTCACTTCTTCAGTTCTCGATGAGCCCGGGGGCGCTGGAACTGTGTTCAAGTTGGAGGGGGGGGGGGGGAACTGCCAAATGCCAACATGGCCCCTAAGATCAGATAGTGGGCCCCCACAAGTCCAAATGGGCTATTTATAGTCAGTAATGGGCGCTCTACGGGTCAACACGGGCATATACGAGTCAAAATGGCCCTGTGCAGAATACGTTAGGCGCTCGACAGCCGACGATGGGCTCTCTACAAGTTAGAAGGGGCTCAATACAGGTCAGAATGAAATCTCTACGAATCAGAGTGGGCCTCGTTAGGTCAGAATAGGCTCTTTGCAGGCCATAATGACCCTCTACAGTCGGTAATAGGCATTCCGCAAGCCAGAATCGGCAATCCACGTTCAGGTCAGAATGGGGCCTCAACATACCGGAATGATGGAAGCTTTAGTCAATATCGGGCCCCCTACGAGCCTGAATGGGCCCCTCTCCAGGTTAGAATGAGCCAGGTACAGGCCAGAATGAGCCCTCGAAGTTAATAATGAACCCTCCACAGCTCATAACATCCTCTACAGGGCATAATGGTCGCTCCACAGGTCAGAATAAAAGAAGGCTAGGTAGGTCATTAAGGCTAGAAGGCTGGAGGCAAGGAATAAAGGAATGGTAGAGGGCTAGATAGGTCATTTAAGTCAGAATGGGCTCTCAACAGGCCAGAATGGGCCCTTCGGTCAATAACGGCCGCCTGCAGATCAGAATCGGTTCTCTACATTCTCAGAAATACATTCTTTTGGTCAGAATGGATTTTAAATAGGGCAGAATGAGCCCCGGACAGGTCAGAATGAACTTTTGCCGGATTACATAATTCCTTTGAAGTTCAGAATGAGCCCTCAGCATATCAGAATGGGCCCTTCACATGCTTCCAAGTTGGGGAGGCGAGCTGCCCCACTTCCCACCCTTCCCCCCTTCCGGGTCCCGCGTCCCTGGGTGAGCCCCTTGAATTTATGTTGCCCAGGATGCATAAAGGCCGGCAAGAAGCAATGCTGGTGAAGGGTCCTCTACAACCGGCAGGAGCCATATAAAGCTGCCAAAGGCCCTCTACAGATCGTCAGCCCTGCAGCCCTGAATGCTGTAGAGGGCCCTTACAGATCGGTAGGGCCATCTAAATGCCGATAGGGGCTCCTGCAGGTCGGCAGACCGTATACAAATACCGGCCGAGGCCCGCAGCAGATTGACAGGGTCCCCTAAAGATCAAAGGCCAGAGGGGCCCAATGGCCTCCAGGGAGGGGAGGGATGGTCCCTTCGGTCCCGTTTGATTACGTCATGTATGGCAGCGCCGCACAGGCCGGGCGCCAGGTCTGACAGCCCTGCATCCGCCAGCTGACGGCGGGCCGGCCACTCACCCCCGACGACAGGCCCCCCCCCCTCAGATGGCAGCCGAACGCCGCGTGACGCGGGCCCCAAGGTCAGGCCCCGCCGGCGGCCGCGGCCGTCGCTTCCCGCATCAGACCGGACGGGGATCTGGCGCCGCGGAGCCAGGTCGCAGAGCTGGTGGGCCATGGCGCTGCCTCTGAGAACGTCGCTGACGCTGTGTTTGGCGCCGCGGAGTCGGGCGTTCAGCGTGTCCGCCGCACAGCAGGCAAACAGCGCGTGAGTATGCGGCCGTCCCCAGCCGCTGATGAGTAGCGTGGAGGTCAGCACGGAGCGACAAGACTGCCGCGCGTGCGGACGAGCGCGAGGCATGTGAGCGCTCGTTCACGGTCAATTGCACGCGCGGCCAATTGTACTACGCATCGAAATGGGGAGCCATCTAGTCCGGGAGTTGGCTTACGTGCACCTGTTACGCTATTTACCCACGTCGCGCATAACCACTAATGTGAACCACGGTGCGAACGCTTCTGGACCACTGTGAACCACAGCGTTTTCCCCTTTGGTGGACTCCTGGCGCGAGACGCCCGTGTCCCCGCTCCCCTCCCACACGCTGCACGCCGTGCCTCCAGATACAAGCTGGTGGTGGTCGGCGGCGGCTCGGGAGGATGCAGCGTGGCCGCCAAGTTCGCCAAGAAGCTGGGCAAGGGGAAGCTGGCGGTCATCGAGCCGGCCCAGGTGAGCGCCGGTCAAGCCCCGGGACAGGGGGCTGCCGGCTGAGCTCCGGCCCAGGTTAGGTCCGGGCCCCAGGAGATGTGAGCCCCGTCCGGGACCCAGGAGATGTGAGCGTCGGCCGAGCCCCGGGACAGGTGAGCGCCGGCCGAGCCCCGAGACATGGGACTGCCGGCTGAGCTCCGGCCCAGGTGAGCCCCATCCAGGCCCCGGGACATGGGACTGCCGGCTGAGCTCCGGCCCAGGTGAGCCCCGTCCGGGCCCCAGGAGATGTGAGCGCCGGCCGAGCCCCGGGACAGGGGACTACCGGCTGGGCTCCGGCCCAGGTGAGCCCCGTCCAGGCCCCGGGACACGTGAGCGCCGGCCGAGCCCCGGGACACGTGAGCGCCGGCCGAGCCCTGGGACAGGTGAGCGCCGGCCGAGCCCCGGGACATGGGACTGCCGACGCTATCGAAGCTACTTTCTGTCGGCAGGGCACCTCCAGCTGAGAGTGTGACGCTCTGGAGCACGAACGCCTGTGCACTACGGAAGGGGAGACTTTGACGCAGGTGGAAGGTGGCACCTTCCGTTGTGCGAGATATTTTGCGATAGGTGGTTTTGTCGCAGGTGCAAATCCGAATGGCCAGGAAAATCTACATATTCTGGTGACAAAGCAAGCACGCTGCTTTGGTTTGTTGCGTCAGACGATTTATGAACCTAGCGTATTTTTAAAATACATTTATGCTCACCGAACCGCATCGATCCATTGCGCTGCTTGCTTTACATATTTTTATCATAACTTCTTCGGTGTGCCGTCGCGGGAAAAATGCATCTGCCGTACATAGTCGGCGCTCTCATTGGTCGGTGCAAGTCTGAAAACGTGGCCGTCATCATTCCGCGAAGCGTTCAGCTCATCGGGGAATGCACTAGCTTTATCCGTGTATTGCGTCAACATGACATTGAACATCCTTAACGTATATTGTGTAAGCCGACAGTGACGTATGACCATTACCAGCATAGGCAAGTAACCACGGTGGTCATGGACCCATGTACCCACTTTTCGTGACGGATAATATTAGCCCTGCGGTGAGAGATCGGAGGATTCGACTGAAAGATGAGGTTTTCCTCCCAAAATGGGAGGACAAAAATGAGAACGTTCGCACGCCCCTAATTCCTACTGATGCAACGCCAGCTCCTTGAACGGCTGGTCTGCGGTCAGCCCGCTGAAAGTCTCTGTGGGACGGAATGTGATCGGTGTGTTGATTACCGGGGTGGGACGGAATGTGATCGGTGTGTTGATTACCGAGGTGGGACGTGCCAAGCGTGCTCGTATCCAGGACAATGCCATTGGTGCTACCAATCACGTCACACATCTTACTCCAGCCCTGATTCCATTGTGCGCCGTGTGGGGGCTATGAACCGACTGTCAGTGTCCGGGCGCGCCCATTGACCCATCTGTTCCCGTGTGGGGCTATGGACTGGCTGTCAGTGTCTGGGCGCGCCCATTGACCCATCCGTCCCCGTGTGGGACTATGAACTGGCTGTCAGTGTCTGGGCGCGCCCATTGACCCATCCGTCCCCGTGTGGGACTATGAACTGGCTGTCAGTGTCTGGGCGCGCCCACTGACCCATCCGTCCCCTTGTGGGACTATGAACTGGCTGTCAGTGTCTGGGCGCCCATTGACCCATCCGTCCCCGTGTGGGGCTATGAACTGGCTGTCAGTGTCTGGGCGCGCCCGGTGGCCTATCTGTGCTGCAATGGCTCGGAGTTCCCCAGTTATTACGCCGCCGACCGGCACGTGCCCGCGAGCCGCTGAAGTCGAGGGCAAACCGCCAGGCCGGCCGGCTGGGTGGGGGTGGGGAGGGGCCGCACATGAAGCGCGATAGCTGGGCGGCCGCAGATCAGGGGCGCGGCTCAGCCCGTTTCTGGGGATGCGTCGTCATTCCGTGCCGGGTTGCATCAGGACCTGTGCCGCTGTGTGGCAATACCGTCCCTTGAGCCCGGCTCAGGCATGACTGTGGATGGGGTGGTGCGGGCTCTGACGGCATCATGTTTACGGCGCTCGATTCAGAACAGTGACTGAAGATAGGGCGGTGTTTCAAGTGGTCCGAGATTTTCTGTCGACATGGCAGACGATATCGACGCAAACCGGACTGATATGCCTGGCAGGTACTTGAATCACGCCAAGGAGAAAGAGTTTCACGATGTCTGTGGGTGTGATCAAACTGGACCTGACCAATTTGTAACTTGTGTGTGTGTGTGTGTGTGTGTGTGTGTGTGTGTGTGTGTGTGTGTGTGTGTGTGTGTGTGTGTGTGCGTGCGTGCGTGCGTGCGTGCGTGCGTGCGTGCGTGCGTGCGTGCGTGCGTGCGTGCGTGCGTGCGTGCGTGCGTGCGTGCGTGAGCCCTCAAGCTACGCCCGATACTTTTATTCGCTGAACCTTTCAAGAGTGACCTGTGTGGGTGGTCCTCGGCGTGCTGTACCGGCATGGGGTGGTGGGTGGCCCTCAGCGCGCTGTACTGGCGCAGGGTGGTGGGCGGGCCTCGGCGCGCTGTACCGGCGCGTGAGTGGTGAGTGGCCCTTCGTTCATTTGTTCGGATTGGTTCGGCGGTCTATGGGCATGTCGTTTGTGCTGCGGAGACTGTACGATTGACCTTGATCTGTAATACTTGTATATACAGTGTCTGTCGTGGGCTGGCAGTTTGCCAACGGCTCGTGAGCATTTACCAGGCTTGGTTGGGCTTGGATGGTGTCCACGGATACCTGCGCTGGAATGTTGCTGAGTCACTGCTCTTAGTCTCGCCCTTATACTGCCGGGAACTGCGCGATTACAGCTCATGGAAGCTGAAGCTTCATGAAGATTGCATGAAAGCGGCGATCATGCAGACACGAAAGGCTCGCTTTCGTGTCTGAATGATTGCCGACGCTCCCGAAACATTTTTTGCCGTGTTTTATTCCACCATTCGTTTTGTCACGTCGTTTGCACGTGTGCAGACTGCTCTTATAGTTTGCTTACATGCTGTAGGTCAAATCTATGTCAGGTACCTTCACTGTGTGTTGATCGTTCGCAGACGCACTACTACCAGCCTATTGGACGCTGGTCGGGGGTGCTGAGTCGGCGAAGCAATCCGGCAGACCCATGAAGACGTGCTTGCCCGCGGCACCGACTGGATACAGGACCGAGTGTGGGTGGGCCTCGGCGTGCTGTAACCCGCGGCGCGGGAGCTGTGGGTGGGCATCAGCGCGGATGTGGCAGGTGTCTTCTCGGTCGCTGTACCGGTTCGGGGGGGGGGGGTGCCCCTGCGTGCCTGTACACGGCGCGGGGTGGTGGGCGGGCCACGGAGTCGATGTACGGCGCGGGTTGGTGGGTGGGCCTCGGCGCTAGAGTGCAGGTGGTCCCTCTCGGTGCGCGCTGTACCGGCGCGGGGTGGTGTGCGCCCCGAGCGTGCTGTAACGGCGCGGGGGTGGTGGGCGGCCACGGAGCGCTGTTCGGTCGCGGGATGGTGGGTGGGCCTTGGCGCGTTGTACCGGGGCCGGAGTCAGCGGGGAGCCGCTGATGACGCGTTGATCCGATTATGTGAAACTGAGTATTGCCCTGCTAACTTTGAGTTTACTGACTTTGTTATGCTACTGCCTTTGAGGATGGTTTGATGATTTCTCTCAGAAGCATACACCCGACAGGCATCTTTAACGCTGGATCTAGAAGATTTTATCTTGCCTTTGCAAGAGGTTGCAGCTGTGGCAAGGAGAATGCATCCAACGCCCACATACATGCGTGCCATGTTCGTTATCTACAGGTGTAGCTTCACCAACCACCTGTGCTCGAAGATAGCGATGACCGTGATTAAACCCTGCCCACTCAGTGCGTTGTCTTATCTTGAACCAGCGCCCCAATCACCGGCATTTTGCGGGGCTTCCACGTGTCGTTGGACCGACGAGGCGTCGTTTGATCCAGTGTCGTTTGAACCGACGAGGCGTCGTTTGATGCGAACTCTAACAAGGTGCCACTTTACCCGCCCAGGTGTCGTTTGACCCGAGCTCCAACAAAGTGACCACCAGCTCGGGCGACGAGATCAGTTATGAGTACTTGGTGGTGGCCATGGGCATCCAGATCAACTGGGACGGGGTAAGTGTGATGGGTGCACCGCAGCAAACTGGGACGGGGCGAGTGTAATGGGCTCACTGCAGCAAACTGGGACGGGGCGAGTGTGGTGGGCTCACTGCAGCAAACTGAGACGGGGCGAGTGTGGTGGGCTCACCGCAGCAAACTGAGACGGGGCGAATGTAATGGGCTCACTGCAGCAAACTGGGACGGGGCGAGTGTAATGGGCCCACTGCAGCACACTGGGACGGGGCGAATGTAATGGGCTCACTGCAGCAAACTGAGACGGGGCGAGTGTAATGGGCTCACTGCAGCAAACTGGGTTAAACGCATGCTGTGTCGTGGAATAGCTGAGTGTTTTTACAGTGTATGCCACGGAGGACGCAGATCCGCAGTACAGTAACGTGTCATGGAGGACGCAGGTCGTCGGTACAATACGATGCCACAGAGGACGCAGGTCGTCTGTATAATATGCAAGATCGAACGATGCATAGGGTGACCGAAGCCCGGCGCACGTATTGGGGCTTTGGTGTGCTTGCTCCGCTATATGGAGATTGTCATATCGGTCGCAATTAGTATTACTTCGACTTATCCCTCAGATTATGTCTGACTGCTCGACACATTGTTGAAGAGAATGGGTTTTTGAGAGCTTAACTTTTTTGCGCACTGGGAGCGGGAAATTCTGACCCAAAAACTGCTGCCGGTGCCAACAAACGACGAACGTTGAAAAGCTCGCCAGTTTTTGTGCTTGATTTTCGGTCGTAACAGCAAAGACTAGAACGATGATGATTGAAGTGTTACCAGATAGTACGGCCCATTGAGCCTATGTGAAAAGAAACAACTGTAGGACTGTCACTGTGCGCAAAGTCTTCCTAGTACAGAGAAAGGTCGGACAAGAATCATGAGAATAATCCATAAATTTCCATACGGCTAACTAAAAAACTATTCCACATATTTAACACGCTTTCGGATGGGGCGGGGGGGGGGCACTTTAACCCCCTGGAGGTTATTCCGAACCAATTTTCGAACGGTGCAGCGTAGCCACGCCAATTTTTGGACAGCTGCAGATAATTGAATAGCGGAGCTTTTGGCATCAAATGTCTAGCTTACCTTGTTAGAAGTTTGCTGACCTATGACATGCCAAATTCAAGCCATGGTTTTAGGGCAGGCAATTGATAGGGAATCATGAATCTGATGCCACAAAGGGCATTCAACGAAGCTGTACATCTCTAAGATAATTTTGTAGGCAACACAACAATTAACTTAAAAATTTCATTGACCTAGGGTCATGTATGGAGGTCAGACCAAGGTCAGAAAAAATGTGTTTTTTTACCCGTGGGCTTGCTGTAGGGGGCAATTTCTGATGTTCCTTTTAAATCTATTAATGACGGGAACCGCACCATACATATTTCATTGACTTCTTAGAGGTCAGAAAAGGTCACTGACCTAAAATGACCAAGGTCAACATTTTGTGTTTAGGAGCATGCTGCCTAGCGTATTTCTCGACGATTAGTCAACTGCAAAATCAAAGCACTCTTTTGTGATTTTTGATCCTCATGATCTTTTTAAGGTCAAAAAGGTCACTGTCCTTAAGGTAACACCGGTAACCTTTTGCTTAGTACAGGTATCTAGGTTCACGGTGGTTACATGAGAATATCTGGGGGCACTTTAGACACCAATTTTTAATTTGACCTTGCTTGACCTTATTTGAAGTTAATGTGTTGAAGGAATGTGTTAAAGAAACGTGTTTAAGGGAATTTTTCACATCTGAAGATAACGAAGCAACCATCAGATATGATGAATGAAGGTCACATATAGCTATCGGTATACGTTTCAAGTGGAAAAACTGCTCTATACAGCACAGTTCTCTGTTTAGTAAATACGTTCCTCAATGAGTCATGGTTTGGTTGCGTCATTGTACCTTGCACAACATTGATCGAGAGCCAATTGACGGCTGTTTTATCTGGAAATCGCGCTCGCGAACGCCAGATGTGAACGCCTCAATCATTATTCTTTTCTCGGCCTCGATCGCCGCGTGACTTATGGAATGACATTCAAATCCTGCCACTCCGTTTGACATGCGGCGATCAAGGCCGAGGCAAATGTAGTTGTTAAAAATAACGACGATAACGATATAGTAGAAGAAATTATGCTGTCTGGAGCAATATTGTGAACCCTTAAATATATCCATCACATAACTGAGCTATTTCATCCTATCTGGTGCTTGCTTCAATTTCTTTAAATGTGGAACATTCCCATTAACTCAGAAACTACTTTGGGACAGGGCCCAATCACTTAGCATTAAAACTAAACAGCTCTAGGGTATCTGAGCAATGTGCATGTGCACATGAAACCAAAAAAACTGTGTTCACCGTGCTTCAAGCCCGTAAAGGTCATTATTCCAACATGTTTCTTTTATGGCAGCTCGCGGTGAACGGAGCACCGTGTTTCAGATCAAAGGGCTGAAGGAGGCGCTGGACACGCCCGGCGTCTGCTCAAATTACTCCCCCAAATACGCTGAGAAGACGTATAAGGAGCTGCAGGCATTTAAAGAGGGGAATGCTATCTTCACTTTCCCCAACACGCCAATCAAGTGTCCCGGAGCACCGCAGAAGATCATGTACATCGCTGATCAGTACTTCAGAAAGGTGAGATTACACTTGCGGGCGTCGTTTCCTCAATAGCAGCCGGACGCTGTGTGCACTTTTCCGACTCTTGATTATTCTTGGGTATTTGGAGAAAGCAGTTTTGTACATGACTGATAATGTTGCCAGCATAGTGTGCCGTTGTCCTTCTGTGATAAAAGTATTCTGGCTTCGAATTCGGTATTATCTTTGTATCATTTAAACCATGGGCAGGTGCTGGCCTGCGCGGACAAAGGCTGCAACGGTTAGGATATCTGCCAAGTTATGCACCGCTTCCTGCTACACTGTTTACAGTGCCCAGTTTCAGGGGCACGTGAATGCGAAGGTCGTGCAGTCGACTAATCGCTGTTTAGAACAGAGTTACTGTCCCAGGAACGTTGGTTAGCAACTGCACATCTAAAACATTTTTCTGGCAAACACGGCTGCCTAGAGCGGGGTATCAATTTTGGCGCTCCATGTGACAGCTGCCGTGCGTATGGCAGCGTATAATAACTTACTCGTCGTGTACGGTTTTGCACACATTATCTCGCATTTCAGGAAGCGGTGGATGAGGATGGAAGGCTGGAATTTGCAGAGATGTTTTACGGGTCGCGTCAGCTCAACGCTGTGCCGAACTCGCGCTTATGCTGGTAGTCGGCAGGAATGTTAGTAGTGTCGTCGTTTGAAGAGCTGCGTCTTAATGCAGGGTGCAGTGAACTAAAAGGTGGCGTCTTCATAGCGTGGCGGTGGTGGCTTTCACGTTAATATCAAAACTTTGCTTAACGGCTTTATAGCACTTTCAGTTATGTGTTATTGTGAGCCCGAAAACGCCAAATCTTCATCATCGGTTATAGGTGTATCTGAGCTTTTCATCACTATAATCATTTTAAGTACTTTCAAAGTCCCTAATCACATTCGACGTCAGAGAGGACTTCTAGCCATGTTCGCCGGGATGCGCCATACCAGAAATGGAAAGCTGCTACTCCAATAGGTTTTGCAAAGCTGGAAATAGTAAGCGACCAATAGGAACTACCCATGTTGCAAGTGTGAAACACTCAGTCACAGTGAAACAAAATGTTGTCAAACGCAGAGCTCCATTCTGAAATAATTCACCTGCTGACAAACAGGGGCAAGGTTGCCCAAGGCCAACGAACCTTTCTTATCACGTACGCACTGTGTAGCGCCGGACCGGGGCCACTTTCTCGCTGTTTTTAGTTGGCATGATATTTGTTACCTCGAATCCGATAGCGCAGTCTAACTGTGATGTTATGCAAGTTCAAGCCAACCAGCCTTGACACCGCCTTGCGTGCTGAATATTGCACCCGCAGCGCGCGCAGCCCTGCTTGCAAGGAAGTAGCGGACTCGCTCTGCGACGCGCTCGGCTCTGTCTCCCTCGGACGGGGAAGTGGCGGATCCGCTCTGCGACACGCTCGGCTCTGTCTCCCTCGGACGGGGAAGTGGCGGATCCGCCCTGCGACACGCTCGGCTCTGTCTCCCTCGGACGGGGAAGTGGCGGATCCGCTCTGCGACACGCTCGGCTCTGTCTCCCTCTGACGAGGAAGTAGCGGATCCGCTCTGCGACACGCTCGGCTCTGTCTCCCTCGGACGGGGATGTAGCGGATCCGCCCTCGACACGCTCGGCTCTGTCTCCCTCAGACGGGGATGTAGCAGACCCGCTCTGCGACACGCTCGGCTCTGTCTCCCTCGGACGGGGATGTAGCGGATCCGCTCTGCGACACGCTCGGCTCTGTCTCCCTCGGACGGGGATGTAGCGGATCCGCTCTGCGACACGCTCGGCTCTGTCTCCCTCAGACGGGGAAGCAGCGGATCCGCTCTGCGACACGCTCGGTTCTGTCTCCCTCAGACGGGGAAGCGCGACAAGGCCAACATCATCTACAACACCTCCCTGCCGGTGCTATTCGGCGTGAAGAAGTACGCCGACGCGCTGTGGGAGGTGGTGAAGAAGCGTGACATCACGGTCAACACGCGCCGCTGTCTGACGGAGGTGCGGCCCGACACACGCGAGGCAGTCTTCGTCAACCTCGACAACCCGGATGAGCAGTACGTCGAGGAGGTAGGCCTGCGCTGGTGATCCCGTCTGTTCTTCTCTATGTCATGTCATAAGCATTCTGTCTGTCGGTTTCTGTTGCTAACAGTGTCGTTCGAATTCAAAATTATCGTGCTGCTGTGTCGTCTGCCACTTGTAGATCAGTCTGCGATGTGATGCCTTCGGTCGCGGATGATGACATGGATAGGAAGGACCTTTTGTAAACCTCACTAGCGGCGTTCACCATGTTCAGCTATAATGTGAGAGACAATAATTATGCATGCTGCTCGTTATTGTTGAATTGTTGAACTGAGGCCCAGTCCGTTGCCCGGGCACAGCTTTCCCGCGTTTGACCGACGCTCTATGCTCCGTCCCCAGTACGAGATGCTGCATGCGACGCCCAACATGTCGGCACCAGACGTGCTGAAGTCCTGTCCTGACCTCTGTGACGCCGCGGGCTACGTGGATGTCAGCAAGGACACCATGCAGCACAACCGGTTCCCGAACGTGTTCGCCATCGGAGACTGCTCCAGCCTGCCTACCTCCAAGACGGCCGCGGCTGTGGGTGAGTGCCGTTACCCGCAGACATAGTGAAGCCGGACTTGTGGGGTGTGTGTCGGCACTGTGATGATCTAGCTGATAGCTGCACCAGGTACCACCACAGGCCGGAAGTCCACGGCGTCTGTCGAGATCAGAGCTCCTCAGATACGATATCATTAGTCGTGTGCTCTTTCAAAGCATGCCGTCAGTATGTTTGCATGCCAATGTCAAACCATGTGAACATTTTTGCCTCCTTTATCTATTGGAAGGAGGAAAAGTAAAGAAAGTTGTAAAGGAAAAGTGCATCCTTCCACCTGCGTCTCGGTTATTTCGTCAGAAGATTTCATCGAGTATGATATTGGTGCAATCAACTTTTCCCCTAAGTGCTGCGTACGACCCACCGTCGGTAGCACAAACCAGCGTTCTTCTCTTCACGACGCTCACCATCCCCAAACTGGCGTGCACTCATTGTTCCTACTGGCCGCACCGACCACTTTCTGTCGATACCCGTGGCCATGACGCGCGCATCCATGACGTTCAAGCTCACTGGGCGCCGTTGTTACAGCGGCAGAGTGCGGAATCTTGGCCAAGAACCTGCGGGCGGTGATGGCGGGCCAGAAGGCGCAGGCCACCTACGACGGCTACACGTCCTGTCCGCTCGTCACCGGCTACAGCAAGGCCATCCTGGCCGAGTTCAAGTACGGCGCAGAGCCGCTCGAGACGTTCCCCATCAACCAGGGCAAGGAGCGCTGGACCTCCTTTATCATGAAGAAGGAGCTGATGCCGTTCCTCTACTGGAAGCTCATGCTCAAGTGAGAGATGACAGAGAACGTCACCACAGACGTCTCTGAAGCATCAGGGAGAACGCGAGCACTTGGCTCTGTCATCGAGTACTTGTCGCGGTGTGTGCCGCGAAGCTGCGTTCCGGGCCTTGGTTACACCGTTGCATGTGGACTGAGTCTAACCGGAGCATGAGGTGTTTCTCAGAAGCGATCCCGCGCGCTGTGTTGTGCTTTCCATGCTAAACACAAATGCCGCATAGAGACAAAGGCTGCGTCGAGCCTGGATTTGACACGTGTGCTTGCTTTCCTGTCTTCTTTACGGGAGGTAAGCAGAAGAAATGTTGGAACGGAGCGTTTTTATGGACGAAATTAGTGTCGAATGTGGCTGCAGCTACATCACAACATGACAATAAGACATGTGCAAATGGCGCAGCATGGAAACAATCGATAAGACACTAGTAATAAGCTTATTCGTGGGAGAAAACCCAGGAGAATGGAACATGGATTCGTTGATATTTCGCCAGCATGCCTTTATCCAAGCAAAGAACAGAAGTGAATTAATTTCTGTTATTCGTTTCGATAAAGGCACGTTACCGAAATATTCATCTATATCTCTATTCTCCTAGTTTTTTTTCCCCGCTGAATAAGGCAATTACTTCTGTGTGACCTACGTGTATAATATTCCTTACAAATGCACTTAAAAATTCACGTAATTTAGGCGCAATCAAGACAAACCTGATTCGCATCCCAATTTCTCGTATGCTACACAATGTTTTCTTTCTCAACAAAATCACTGGCTGGTCTGTGCCCTCAAGCAAAGCAAATCCCATTCAAATCAACAGCTTATCACCCTTGACACGTGTTCTGCTAACAGTGGCAACTGGAACGGGCCGAGGACGTTCCGGAAGCTGTTACACTTCGGCATGGGGAACTGAGTGGAGCAACATCAGTCGCGGGAAATGGGTCCGCGGACCAGCTGGACGGTCCCCCAGCTGCCGGCCAGGGGACCAGTGGCTGCACAACTGAAGAGTGGTGGCGACGCCCTGCACCTCTGGAACGGGGACCGAAAGCGACTCCGAAGATGCCGGCTGTCACCGCCAGACAGGGCCCGCGGCAGGCGACATGTTATGGAGTCGCGAGACCGTGAGGTCGAGTCTGAGGACTCTGAGGACTAACTCTGAGGACTCTGAGTCTGGTGCTCTGAGGACGGAGCTGGGAGAGCTCTGCGACAGGAGGGGAAGGAACTGCGAGTGAGCCACGAGTAAGATGGTCGGCTGCATTGTCGTGCAATTACTGGGGCCCAGACAGGAGCGAACGGCGTTAATTTGCTCCCGGAGGGGAGCGTCCGCTTGTTGTAATACCGTAACCTTTACTTTCTGACCGTGTGCGAGCCACAGTTTTACAATATACATGACCGTTTACTCTATGCCGCGTGACGATTTTTATGAAAGAGTTGGCTAGCAAAGCTGTCAAGTATTCCGAGAGCATAAGCTGTTTCCCTGAGCGAGTCAATGGCCTCTATCAGCAGTCTCCATGCCGCTAATGGCACTGCCACCTGGCGTCGGTTTACATGGCATACACCACTAACTCAACCCGCCATCTGTACCGCCACGCCGACGCGCGCTGGGCAGCCGCAGGCTACGGAGTGTCTCTGCTCTCCAGCCCTGCCGTCCGCGCACCCGTGCACTCTCACTGGCGTCCGATGGTGGCGTTTCCAAGCAAGTTGCCAGCCCATCAACGGCAGCGGGCGTCAAATCTAGGCGTCCAGGCTTCCGATTTTGATCAAACGCCGTTGGTGACATCGTTGGTGACGGTTGTCGATGGGTGCAAACGGGCAGTAACCGGGTCCAACGTCAGCAGACGTGTACAGAAAGCCGTTGGTCTCATTCTATCATTACTATGTATGGACGACATAACTAAGAATCATTCTCAATGCATACATTTCGGATCATTTTAAAGATCCCATCAGAGTCCGTGAAGTGACAGCTGCATAGAAACATAGAAAATGGGCAATTTACCCTATAGTCTTCGTATAACCAAATTTTAGATCGAATGGAGCTCATTTGGAGTTACAATGAAACCTCATTTTTTAACGCGGACTATAAGCATTTCAAAGACGAGATAAATGTACGAGCCCGGGAAGAAAAAACTGTGAAAGTTAAATGTCTGCACTTCTTGCATTAATTTTTTAAATTTTTTAACCTCTAAGGTATTCCTGTTTGCGCATGTTAGGCACTACGTGACGCAGTTTCTCCAGCCATTTCATGGGCTCGGGGCAACTGAGCCTTGCTATTACTTACTGGTTGCACACAAACACCTATTCCATCTCATCAAGGCACCATGTAAGTGCAAATTTAGTCGACAGAGCATTATCATTGGAAAGGCTGCTTGCGAAGATCGTGGAGCTGGCAATTATGCAGTTCTGTAGTTTGAAACAAACGGCTTATTAGGGCATCGCTGGCGGTTATGGCTCTGCAGCGTGTGCATATTCATGAGCTATTTCCCGCGCCCTTCAACGCCTGATACATCTTCATGGCTGTTGCAGTGTTTTCTGTTTAGACACACCCATTTAATCACAAAAGGGATATGCAACTCGACGAAAACATTAGCGGCGACCAGATCCTATCAAGAGGCGACACACCTCGCTTGACAGCGCCAAGGTGAGCTATCATGGATGTCAATTTTCGTGAATTATTAGGGGCGGGGCGAATCAAAGATCCAACAACTGAGGCCTGCCCCAAGTTTTTCACGCAGTTTAGCCCACTTTGTTTTGATGAATGACAAGATGGTTTTAATTTTTGCACGATTTATGAGGAGTAATTTAGTTAAGTAGTATAGTAGCCATGCAGGAGTGGATCCAGCGAGCGGGCACTAGACCCACGTGCCTCTTCTGATCGGCAAGTGAAGGCGCCCCTTTGGAGGCCACCTCAGAGCGCCGAAGGCGCACTTTTATGGCGACCATGGGAGGCGGCAGGTATTTTGACTGTGGGAAGCTTGGATGGGATTAGCCACGAAGAACTTTGGTCATCCCCGTACTCTGGAGCTTTTCACGTCAACCTCACAAACCTCTGCGTGCTTTATGGCCCCAGGTGTGTGAAATTTATTGTTGTTATTTTTTTATTATTTATAAATTTATAAATTTATTGTTGTTCATTCACTCAGCAGTTACAATTTTCATCTGCTGGTGAGAGCAACCACGACTTTTTGTCACGAAGGAATGAAGGGTTCTAGTGTTCGAAGGCGCACAGCTATATACGTGAGACATACGTTTCTATGGAGATAAACATCCGCCTACATCAACGGATCCAACTACCGGTCTTGGGCGCCAAGTCAAATGAACACCAGTGGCCTTCTGTCTGGAACAGGTTTTTAGGGTTAAAGCGGTTGCATGAGGAGGTATGGAGACACTTTGGACACTGACCTGGAGTTTGACCTGATTTGGTCCAGATGTCAACCAGATATTTTGACATCTGGTTATCTATCTGGTTATCCGGTTATCTATCTCGAAATTTGATACGAGTTAGTTCATATGCAGGTCCCACTGCCCTGTGAATTTAGCGTTTCTGGTTTTCTTTTTTGTTTTTTATCTCTGTGGGTCAAATTTGACCGCTACCCACCGAGCGCGTCGCATTCAACCGGCCATCCTTGTGCGCGTTAAATTGCTATTGCGCGTCAAAGTCGGAGTTTGTCACGGAGTCATGTCAATGAAATAAACGCCTGTAATATTCTATGCGACATTTTAACTTAATGTGGGCTAGCTCCCTTTAAGTGTTGCAAGTTAGTAACAGAACAGCCGACTGAAGTTTTACTTAGCGCACGTTTGCGTATAGTTCACTGGTACTATTTTCTGCTGCGCGCACTGATTCACTTCTAGCTTAGTCTAAAAATTTGATTGAAACCCGAAGCGGTGAGTTCCCTGAAAATGACGGGAGAAAGCAGCTAAACATTTTAAGACACAATGGTCATAGGATTCCAGATGAAAGTCAAGCTTTCCCGTACTCTTGCCCCAAAAGGTGTAGTGCAGATGTAAGTGTAAACATGCGTAAAAACGGTACCAATGTTATTACTAGTGGCGGCATACATTTACCCAAGGTAAACTGTGCATGGCTGCTTTTTAGGGTACAGATGATATGTCCGGACAAAAAAAGTTAGTGATGTCGCAGTTAACAGACATTGATTGCCTTTCCGCAAGCCCGTTGGCTGCAACACACAACATGTTTGCAGAAAAAAGCTATATAGCGGCAAAGACAAGGCAGCCGGGAGTCGTGCAATTGCATGGCAAGGAAAAGGTCATTTCGTGCTATTTCGGAAAGGGCCCGAGGCAGAATAAGTCCGTTGAACCTTCATTACAATGCGATCGTTGTTCGGAGTGCAAGTAATAGGTTATTGTCAGTACAAATCCAAAGAAATCCGAATCCGATCTAATCGATTCTTTTTATCGAATTATTTATCGAATTTATTTTAGCGATTCGAATTCAGAAATCTGATTCTATACCTGTCCCAGCAAGATTTTTGCTTTCTGCTTTAAGTATGAGATATTTCATTTCATAGCTGAACTTGTATTTTAAACTAACGACACCACACCAAAAATTATGTTGTGGTATGCAATTTTTTCATGAGACCATACAACAAATAATTTTGGGCACGGAAACTGTAACGCCGGGCGTCGGGGTTTTCTCCGGAGACTTGCAAAAGCGCATGGTAAAAACTATTGTGCAATTTATTCACCACTAGATTTTGAACAAAGGTTACCAGACGAAAATGAAGTGGCCATGTTAGTACAACTTGATGACCATATATTGATCCACAATCTACGTTCACAAAACTCTGTAAGCACTACACAAATTCCGACACAGCCCCTGAGTGCTATGGGCTTGAGAGAACTTCGCTGAACCATTGTGAAATAAAAAGCACCGGTGGCGTATTCTATGCAATCATTTAACACCTGGATACTTTAAATTATTGACTACCAAATGCTGGCAAAATTGCATTTTTTTGTGCCTCCTGGCTTCCATTTCAGTTAAAGGAAGTAATATTCAACTGAAGCAAAGAAAATCGACTCAATTCAAATGAAGCGGGGGGGGGGGGCTACATCCGGTTATTTTCTTTTCTTTTTTTGGGGGGGGGGGGCGGGGGGAGTAATGAGGAGGGGGCCCGAGGAGAGACCCTGTGTCGCTCCTTTTTCTTGCCAAGACTGTGCCCCTGTGTTTGCGAGTTTATTGAGCACACGAGTGCGAGTTATTGAGCAGAGCAGCTTATTGGCATGGTCACTTCAAAGTCAACTTAACCAGGAACGCTGTCATTATCAACCTGCATTGCGTGCGACTTTGCCATGGCAGGAGCTTTATTCGCCGCCCGTTTGACTTGAAGCAAGCAGGGGTCGATTTCCTTCCAGTGGCGCCACAGCGCGGGACAGCGTACCCCAGAAGTTTGACAGGCTCGCAATGCGTGTTTTTACAAACGAGCGGGGGAAAGGCAACCTCAGGAGGAGAGCATCTGCCTAAGCGTATTTGGGGAAAGGTTGAGGGGCAGTTTCTGATATGTGCGGAAGAGTGCCAATGTTTTGTTTTGCGTTAAAAGTAGTGCTCCACATTTGTGTGGGGTTTTCAAGTGTAGAAGCTGTCTTGAAAATCATTCGGTGCAGTTCACAGCCCTGCTCTTCTCAAGACCTAAACCGATCTAGTTTCTGATCTGCACGCCCTCGAAGATGCACAGACTATTTTAGTGAGTTTCAAGGTTACCCAGGCATCCAGTACCCCATAATGGCGTCACCTACATCCTGATACTTTATTGCCCAAGCGGCGACCAAAGCCAAGCAAAATGAATTGTCGAGTCTTTCATATCTGGCGCTCGTGAGCACGATTTCCAGATAAAATGCTTGCCGATAAGCTCTCATCAGTGCTCTGCAAAGTACGATGACACAATCAAACAATGACGTACTGAGCAGGACGTTTACTAAACAGGGGCATCGTTTTGTCTAGAGCAGTCTTTTCAACTTGAAAGCATACCAATATATAAAGTGAACTTATTTCAGCATATCTAATACCTGCTTCGAAATCTCCAAATGTGGAACATACCCTTTAACTGAAATGCATGCATTTCATCGATGACATTTTGGTTAGTCGAGGGCCCGCGTTAAAAAGTCTGCGATAACTATACATATGTAGACGGCCGCCACGTCGAAGACACCGAGGTTTTAGGTGCACTATATTTGATGACCGTCCATCGCCAACACCGCGCTTCAACTCCTCGTGGACGCTGACAGGGAAACAACGAAACCTCGGAAATAGACAGACTAGACCTAGAACTAAACAGAGTGGAAACAGACAGAACAGAGACTAAAATTAGCAATACAAAATGAATACCAAAATAGCATGGATTGACTGACGCTAAATTAGACCTCAAGATAATCGCAAGCAAAGTGACT